ATTGTAAATACCCAATATTGGGGCGCCTGGGTGGCTCAGTTGGTTAAGCGACTGCCTTCGGCTCAGGTCATGATCCTGGAGTCCCTGGATCGAGTCCCGCGTCGGGCTCCCTGCTCGGCGGGGAGTCTGCTTCTCCCTCTCCCGCTCCCCCCCCTCGTGTGCTCTCTCTCTCTCTCATTCTCTCAAATAAATAAGTAAAATCTTTAAAAAAAAAAAAGTCTATATTGTAAATACCCAATATTGGGGCGCCTGGGTGGCTCAGTTGGTTAAGCGACTGCCTTCGGCTCAGGTCATGATCTGGAGTCCCGGGATCGAGTCCCGCATCGGGCTCCCTGCTCGGCAGGGAGTCTGCTTCGTCCTCTGACCCTATCCCCTCTCATGTGTTCTCTCTCTCTCATTCTCTCTCTCTCAAATAAATAAATAAAATCTTAAAAAAAAAAAAAATTACAGATCAAACCAATCTTCTCAGTGGTGATTTGTAGCTCAGTATTGCAATTGTACAGTTTCCTTCTCACTTTGCTCTAAAGACCCATCACTTTTTACAGCTCAGTTCATAGGCTCTCATCCACTCTCTGGATGGAATCCCCCCTCCTCTGGACTCCTATAGTCTTTTGTTTATTCTTGTCCTAATGCATTTATAATTTGACTTGCTTTTGAGATATTTACTCTAAAAGACTGCAAATTCTATGAAAACATACAGGACTTTATTCATCTTTGAGGCCTCTACCACATCTAAAAAGAACATAATTATCCTAAAATATAATTATGTTGAAATGAAGTGACTCAGTATAATCTTACTAAATGAGAATAGGTTTCAAAACCCAGTACTTTGATAGACAGCATTATTTAGGTGATCAAACACCTTCAAAAGAGTCTGAATCATACAAAAATAGATTAATACAAGTATAATATTTAATATCAGGCAGCCTGAGATTTCAACTCTGCCAGTTATTATCTAAAAGACTGGGCAATAGGGCGCCTGGGTGGCTCAGTCGTTAAGCGTCTGCCTTCGGCTCGGGTCATGATCCCAGGGTCCTGGGATAGAGTCCCGCATCGGGCTCCCTGCTCGGGGGGATGCCTGCTTCTCCCTCTCCCACTCCCCCTGCTTGTGTTCCCTCCCTCTCTCTCTCTCAAATAAATAAATAAAAATCTTAAAAAAAAAAATAAAATAAAAGACTGGGCAATAGTTAAAACTCTAGAAGTCTTGAGTTTTTAATCTGTAAAATGGATTATATTAATGTAACATAGTTCTTAGGATTACTGTGAAGAAATACAGTACCTACCATAGAATAAATTACCAAAGTATGGTCACCATTTATATTCACTTACATAAATCAGGGCATCCTCCCTGCCTCAGTCAAGATAGCCTAAGTAGTTGTTTTTAAAGCATGGACTTCGGATGAACAGCACTGGCATCATCTGGCAGCTTGCTAGAGATCCTCACATTCCCCACCAACCTACTAAATGAGAAACTCTGGAGGTGGACCCAGCAATCAGTTTAAAAAGCCCTTCAAGTGATTCTGATGAACACTAACATTTGAGAAGCTACTCTCAACTCCTAAGGTTAAAAGGCTTATTTCTCTTGTATAGTACATGCCCATTCGCTGAGAGCTCTGCTCCGAGTCTACCTCAGTGGAAGGCCAAGCCTGAAGAGTTTTCTCCAGCACAAGTTACTTTCATTTACATTTCATTGTACAAGATAAGTCTAACGGCCATACCCGACTTCAAGTGCAATCTCAAAATACCCCCAGAAGAAGAGGAAAAAGAATATATATGGATAGCCCAATGACAACCTTGGTTGCTTTCAGCTTTTTGGTTTCTTCCCTTAGTGGAAATGGAGCTCCTGGTTAAGTCAAATGCTAATATTTTGACCTTGCCTCAAAGGAGGGAGGAGGTGATCAACCTCCACTCATGTAGAAAACTGACTGAAATACTCTGCTCCTTTAAAAGGTGCACTTTACCCAACTGTCATCAAGAAATAAATTATTGGGTTGAATTTTTCTCAAGTTTAAGTCTTTCTTTCATAGTTATTTAATCCTCAAAGCTTGATTCAACTTGCTAATATTGGATCCAATATAAGATGATGCCTGATAGAGACTGAAATATTTATATTTTATTGATATTCCAAGATACTCTGTAGAGACCCTTACAAACTCCAGGCCTTCCACCTCTGCCAGGTAAAGGTATCAGAGCATCACTCCTGCCACCACAAATGGTCAGCACCACCTAATTCTCAGTAGGCAGGACCTAAGAAATAGAAATGGAAAGACTTACTCATTAGTTTTCCGCACTAACACCAAACCCTGGAGCCAATGCACATGCTTGCGCAGGTTGTGTATTGAGAATAGTAACACACTAGAGGGTGTTAGCACGTCGCCAACATCAGATTTTTGTATATTTATTAAGAAAAACATTGACACAACCAGCAGTAAAATACCTAATTTTTTAAACTGATTTATCACCATAGTCTAAGAGAAGTAAACTGTACTGAGAAAAAAAAGATGATCTTTTTTCTCTTCTTTTCTTTTTCTTTTCTTTTCTTTCACAAAGGCAGCTGAAGGGTTAGAGTTGACCTGTGTACTGTTTGATCCAAGATTTTGCTTTAGGCAACGCCATATGCCTACTCTGTTTCACAACCTAGCTATAGTCTTAAAAAGCTGCTTATAGAAATTGAGCTTTAGCAAATTAGAACTCTTTTACAAATAGAAGAGGCCCAAAATATGGAGTATAATTATTTAAAAGCTGAGTCCTTTAGTAATACTACCAACTACCATCAAGATACATCTTGGATATATTTTCTCAAATCAACCTGTTTGATTATATATATATATATATATATATATATTTGTACATGGGGGAATTCTGCTGTTTTAGCCCATCTAGGTATAAGCAAATTTTACAAAATAATAGAGAATAAGAGAATAATCCATAATTACTTAGAATGAAGTCTCTAAATGGGAAGTTCTGGTTCAGTTAGGTAAAAGTTTTGGGAAAAGATTTTGTTTTTGATTTCCTTAACAGCCTTCCCATAGTCCTGACTCTTGTTATATCTCTTTCTACACTACACCATGACCACATTTGGGTAAATAATTTGCACTTAACAGTCAACATTTTAACTCTTAAGGCTACCACCTTCTTTTTCTTTTTTTTTTAAAGATTTTATTTATTTATTTGAGACAGAGAGAATGAGAGAGAGAGCACATGCGAGGGGGGAGGGTCAGAGGCAGAAGCAGGCTCCCTGCCGAGCAGGGAGCCCGATGCGGGACTCGATCCAGGGACTCCAGGATCATGACCTGAGCCGAAAGCAGTCGCTTAACCAACTGAGCCACCCAGGCGCCCATGCCTACCACCTTCTAAAAGACTATGTAGGAGCACCAGATTCATGATGAGAATTGCATTCAGTCTGGTATGAATGTACATGTGTGTACTGATACGTATTAATAAAGATGGAGTGTTGGTGGGCTCATTGCAAGGCTGAGAAAGCAACGCTTTTTGCTCCCACTCAGTGTTGAGAATGCACAGCAGCAGTCCCTGCCTTCTTCCTTACTTCTGGTCACTTCTGCTGGACTTTTCCCAAGGTTACTAACAGCTCAGCCAAAAACAAAAGCTTGGATGTCAAACATTCTGCAAATACACCAGTCACCTCTTGAGTAAATCCCTGTGAATGACCTTCTCTGGGGATAAACTGTACAAGGCGTTTGAAGGAAAATTCTGCTTTAAGCATCCTTAGGCATATACAAATTTGAAAGAATGAAGGGAACCTTAATTTGGGAACTTAGCTGCAGAAATTACACGCACAGCCTCAAAAACTGAAGCCAGAGTCCTTCAAAACTGTTAGTCTTTCTTTATATGTTTATTTAATTTACCACAATTTTACTTTTAGTGTATTCAGGACTTTTCCACTGCACTAACCAGTCATTTAAATCAACCCTTCCTACTGCTGGCAAAAATTGGCACAGGAAGAAAGAATGCAGAGCAAAAATAGAGCTTACCTCTTCCTATAGACTGGATACATCGCTTATAAAGCCATAATGCACATGGTTCAGGCCTGGAACACTTCCATGTAACCACTGAAGACACATGATCTGCAAAAGTAATTACAAAATGACTTGGATCTCTTCATACACTTTTTATGGTGGTATGAACATTCAACATGAGATCTACCCTCAATGGATTTTTAAGTGTAAAATATAGTAATGTTGACTATAGGTACACTGTCATGTAGCAGATCTCTGGTAATTCCTCATTTCCAGAAAATGCACATCACAACCACAATGAGATACATTCTTGTGCCTGTCAGGTTGGCTGTGATCAAAAAGACCAAAGACAAGTGCTGGTGAGGATGTGGAAAAACTGGAACCCTTGCACCATGCTGGTAAGAACGCAAACTGGTGTGGCCACTAGATAAAACCCTGTGGAGGTTCCTCAAACATTGAAAATGGAACTACTATGTGAAAAAGCAATCTTACTTCTGGGTATTTATCCCAAAGAATTGAAATCAAGGTCTTGGAGAGATATTAGCACTTGGATGTTCATTGCCACATTATTCAGAGCATGCAAGATATAGAAAAAACCTAAACGTCCATCAACAGATGAATGTATAAAGAAAATGTGATATATACTACATTCTGTGTATATATATGTATAAAATAGAATGTAGTCATATACTTTCAAAACACTTTTACTCTAGCCTCCTTAAAACGCCTTTAAAAAGCCCCCAGCCCTATAAAACTATGTAAAAATCATAACTCTAGGTACCAATGAGAAATAACACTGGAAAAAGAGACGATCATCATCATCATCATCATTATTATTATTTTCACTTTACCTCTATTGTCCTCCTCCCCTTGCACTTTTCACAGATACTTCAGTGGAACATGAGGAAAGAAGCAAGATTAAGAGAGATACAACATTTTCTTTAAAGCTCATGAGGAAATGGGAGAGAAGAATTTTGGAAATCTCAGTCATTTCTATCCAGCATATTTAATTAAATAAAACGTAATACTTGTCTCATATGTTATTTTTTTTAATAGCCATGATTTCAACTTTCCTCTAGCTCTAGCAACAAATTACCTGCAAGCATAACACCCACATGTATAGAGATTCTTTTTAACTTCTACTTCTTTTTAAGTACTAGTGTCTAGGACTTAGCAGGCATTACCCAAATTTAGTGCTGACCTACCAAGAAAGTTCTATGAGTTTGAGCTTAGAAAATATAGAAGAAGAGGACGGTATGGGTTTCCTTTTCGTCAAAGTGCTGATGGTTGTTTAAAGAACACTATTGGATCATTTATTTTAATAGCTTTTCATTTCCTGTTTCAGTTTCTAATACCTATGGGACTTGGGAAATAAGTGCTATTCTAGATAAGTTTCATTTGGTAAACATTGATTCCTTTGCTCTTATTCTGATCGGAGCTGAAATAAACTGTTCTCCTTCCCTATTTTTATTCCCCAGCACCCCAGCTGGATGTCCTGAGCTGACCTGTGGCTATTGGTCACAACGTGGTCTCAGCATAATCCCTGCCTCTCACTTTTCTACTTCAGGGTAGGAATTTTTTCAGGGTAAAAATGAGGGCTCCATCTTACTTCCTTTTGCATGGAAAACAAACAAATCTATTTTAGGAAAGAGGAAAACAAACCTTTTGAGGAAACAGTATTTGTTAAACTGTATTGATCAATTTTCTGATAGATCTTCCTTCATATCATAGACTGGCCATCTCCATGGCCTTTAACAAGTGACGTCATTTCACTAGGCCAGTTCCTGCATCTGTAAAATGGAACTAATAATAGTCCTGTCTTCATAACACTCTTGTGAGGATTCAGTAAACAATGATTAATGAACAGAAATCTAGGCAAAATCATATTACATCAATACCTATGCATTCAGCCCAGACCATGGTACTAGAAAAAAAGAAACAGCAAGAAATAACACTGGAATAACATTGGAAGAAAGAGAGAGAGACACAGAGATACAGAGATAGAAAGACAGAGAGAAGAGTGAGAGAGGGAGAAAGAGAGAGAGACTAGTGATATATTGTCTTGGAAATGCATAAAGAATAATCTACATAATAATTTTTAAAAAAGAAAAAAAAATTAATCTACAGTCCACATTCACTGTGTGTATTGAGGATGAGTTAAAGTACGTAAGAGTTCATCATATTATTCTCTTCTTTTCTGGATAAGTTTGAAATATTGCACAATTAAAATATTAAAGAAAACCAAATTCTTGGTATGTAGGTCCCTACAACTGTGGGAGAAGCAGGAAATTTGCATGAGCTTAATTTTTCTTCTCTGCATATATTTTTTTAAATTTTTATCTAGAAATAGCCTATCCTCATTCTTGCCTTTATTTTTTCCAGGACATGCTGCTGGGTATATGTTTTTTAAGCAGCTCTGAGAATATGCTTGGCAGTAATATTTCCCCTTAGAGAAGGGGGAGGCAGAGGGCAAGAGACGGCTCCCAAATCCCCCAGGGAAGGAGGGTCTCCCTAGATTTTAACATAAAAACTGCCATAGGCTTACAGGAGATTGCAAATTACCTCTCCTGTTCTTTTGGGATCCTTGACCTAAAGGAAGCCAGGGAAACTGACTCACAGAGAAATAATGTGTGGCCTAGGAGGCCATCTGGAGCTACTGTAGTAGAAAAGGCTGTGTGGAGAAGATTTAATATGACAGCAGCTTCCAGTCCCTTCCTGGAGTTAGCTTCTGACCTTCTGTTCATCTTCTTTAGCCTAAGGTGCAGGGCACCATAGGCCTGAGAAGCCCCAAAGGGCTTGCCTTAACATGAGGCATTATCAGTATTAGGGCCTAGTGTCTGAATAACTGGAAGTTTCCATGTAAATCAACCTTAGATTCAGACTTTTATGACTATGAAAAAGCCAGAAAGTGTCTAGCTGTGTGGTTAATGGTTTGTTTGATGTCTGTCTTTACTAAGAACAATTATGAAAAGAAATTTTATGACCCTCTTTTTCAAGGCTTTGGACAAAGGCTTCAAGGAGAAGATATATGAAAATGAGGCTGAACACGTCTTGATCTCAGCAAGGAATAATGTATTAATTATCTACTGGTAAATCACAAAATACCCCAAAACTGAGCAACCTCAACAACAGTAACTTTCTCAAAGTTTCTTTGGGACCATAATCAGGGTGTGGCTTATCTGGGATCCTCTGGTTCAAGGTCTCTCATAAGGTTGTGATCCAGCTGTGGACTGAGCTACAATCATCTCAAGATTCACCTGGAGAAGGTCCCCTTCCAAGCTCATCACATGGCAGTTGTCAGGATTGAGTTCCTCACTGGCAGCCCATCACAGATATCTATGAAAGAATCCCAGGGATTGGTTTTGTTAATATTTTTCTTGCTTTTTACTTTTGATGGGATACAACCCACAAATTTATTGTAAAATTAAACTAATATCCATCTGTCTGGAGAACGCACGCCTTCAAAGTGCCTCAGTGTCACCCTCGCATCTGTCACCTAACCACCCCTCTACTTACCCATCACATCCCAACTTCAATGGGCCTTCTTCTGGGAACCTATTCTTTGCTTTCCCAAACAAAACCATGTGTAACATATAATGATATAATTAAGATTCTGTGATTATCTGTATTAAAATGTTTCATGGGCAGTGCAGTTTATGGAAAATAAAGCCAAAAAACATCAAACATCAAACACAAGATAAGGAGATGTGAGTTCAATGCCCTTGCTGCTTAACAGGAAACTGAGGTGAAGTCACCTTCTCTCTGAATCTCAGATGCTTCATCTCCCAAATGTGGGACCAGATTGCCCAGTTCCCTTGTGGTTCAGAGGGCATGACTTCCTTTCCCCCCGAGATTTAAAGGGTTCTTGCTTCCCTTACCACCATCTCATCATGATGTACACCTTTGAGTACTTTTCAATATTCAGAAGTCATATTCTAGCCAGAGCACATGTAGGTAGAATCATCTTCTAGTACAGCAGATGCTGAGCACTGATTATCCACACATACCACCTAGTCTGCAGGAACATTGCTTTTCAGAGCTGGGGGATGATCCATCTACCTTCTCCCTGGGTCCCCTATATGAACATCACCACTCCTTGTGCTGCATCTTTCCTTTTCTCCAGAAACAGACTTCACCTGACTATGCTGGAATCCAGTAATAATGGGTTTAGGATAGCTCCTCCATTCACAAAATAAATACTCAGCAAATAAGTGTTTGTAGACAAATTTAAAAATAAATAAATAAAACAAATGGATGAGTGTCAGAGGGACAGACTTCCAATTAATATCTCCCACCCTGGCTCTCTCTGTGAGAGCACGTGGCGACATTTCATGATTTGAAAGGGGTCAGTACCCAGGGCTAGAGGATGGTACCATTCACCCAAATGCATTGATAAAAGATTTTAGTTTTAGTAAACTAAAGATGGGTAGATGGATGTGTTACACTGGTTAAAACAATAACAACTTGGAGTGCCTGGGTGGCTCAGTCAGTTAAGCGTCCAGCTCTTGATTTCAGCTCAGGTCATGATTTCAGGGTCCTGGGATCAAGCCCTGCATCAGGCTCCACACTCAGAGGGAAGTCTGCTTGGGAATCTCTCTCTACCTCCCCCCTCTGCCCCTCCTCCCTGCTCTCTCTCTCTAAAATAAATAAATAAATCTTAAAAAAAAAAAACAATAATAATAACTCTATGTACTTGCTTTGTTTTCCAAATTGGCAAGAATAAATGGCTCAAAAGTATAAAGCTAACGAACTTTTTCGTATTCCCCTTTCCTCCCAGCTTTCTCTCTGTTTCTTTCACCTTTTATAAGGGAAGAACCAATTCCTCAGTCTGTTTCTTTTTCCTCATTTCCCCAAATTACCAAAGACTGATAGGAACCCCAGGAAAGGATATCTGCATTTTACCATAGAACCCTCCCTTACCTGAGTAAGCCTTTTTCCTGTCTTTTTCTGTGGAGACTCGAGATAATCCCATGCCATTACCCCCAGAAGGAAAAATCAAATCCAAGCCTTGGAGTTGCCCCAGGCCTCTCCATCATTTATTTTCCTGATTCAAAGAGGAAGATAGAACCTTGAATTGCACATTGCACACCGAAAACCTGCCCTTTAAAAGAAAGAAACACAGAAGTCAATACAACTAACATTATGAAATTTACTAAATGAAACAAGATTGAGGTTTTGCACGAGGACTGAAGAGGTCAGTGTGAGGTAAGGCCCCCGTTCTTTAAGACCATCTGTCCTACTACAGGAAAGTAGCAGAGTCTGTGTTTTGAGCGTTTCCCTCACAGTCATTCAGCCCGTTCCAGGGCTAGAAGGGCCACTGTTCTCCTCTCATGGTGGAACCTGGAGCAATGGAAAGAGCCCTGGCTAACCAAGCCATCCATCCAGCCTATGAAATGTGTGCAAACGAAGAAGGAATGCACGCCTGTCTTAATGGATTCCTCTGAGGATGAAGTGACATGATGTGAATGCACTTCATAAATTGTACATGGGAAGATAAATGGGAGGAGTGTTTTAACTGTTTCGATTTACATCATTATTAGCGCTGAGAGCTGACTATGTGCCAGGTACTGTTAGCTAGTGTATACACTTCACTTACCTAACCTTCCCCCAAACCTTAGGGGACATGTATTGTAATGCTTATGCTACAAAGAGAGAAACTGAGGTCCAGAAAGTCTAGGTGACTTTACTCTACTCTAGGTTGTTACATGGCAACGTGGGGACTCACACTCAACTCTCTGAGTGCGAAGTTTAAATTCCACCAATAATTCATCTATCTCTTTCCTTTGCCCTTATTTATCTTACATGTAACACATATGGAATAAGGGAAGACCTCTGGCACAAAATCTTGACTTTCAGCAAAGTTTTAAGGAATACCCCTACCAAATCTTGGAGAGTGACTGCTGACAAATTTGTGATTAGATCTCAGCCAGCAATAAACCCTGTCTTCAGTGCTGAGATGGGGACTTGGGAATAGGACTCATGAAGGGAGCACTGTGTTGAGTCAAAAGGTAACATTTTATGTAGTCCTTTGTGTGTTGTAACTGCATTCCCTTTAATGCCCTTTCATTTCTCACTCTTAAGCTGTGGGGGTGAGAGAGGAATTAATTATAGTGAGCCAGCGCTCCTGCCCACGACAGAAAGCTGCTCATAAACTGTCGGCTAGGGATAGATGTTCCTATAAAAAAATGAAATGAGAGGCCATTCCTCCCCTGGAAAAGACTGAGAATAGGCATTGCTCTACTTGTGTTGAGAGATGCTTAGACTATTCAAAGGGTACTTCCTTTTCTTACCATGAGCCACGTCCCTTGAAATGACAAGATCTTCTCTCCCCTGTTCATGTGCATGTATGGACTCACATGCACACATTCCAGATCCAAACATCACATGTATGTGGACTCAGACACATGCAGTCACACAAACACACTCAGGCATACATGTGTTCATGCATGCACACACACACACACACACACACACCCCAAACTGAAGAGAGAAGGAATCAAGCCTCATAGCTGAGGGCTCTGAGTCTGGCAGATTGCTCCTCAGACTCTAGGTCCATCATGCATTATCTGTAAAACTTAAATTCCTTTCCTTCCCTCTCTGAGATTCACTTTGGACATCTATAAATTAAATATAATACTACCTCTTTAAGGGATGGTAGTACAAACTGCATTAAGGAATACAATGCATGAGAAAATAACTTAGTACAGGAACTTGATGTGCAGTAAACACCAAGGAAATCCTTT